TTTAAGTTTAATAATGAAATAATTTATTTTTGGTTTAATAATATAACATTTTATAAAGATAATAATTAAGTATTATGTTAGAACTCAATGATTATCCTAATTATTATTTTAGATTTTTTTATATTTAAAATGAGATGTTTATCATGTATTTGATTGTGTTTATCTGCAGTTAGTTACACGAATTCAGATATTGGATGAAATCGGATAGGGATGAACAGGTTTAAGAGTTTTAAGAGTTTTTAAGAGTTTTAGTCAAATGCTTTATAAGATAGTATAGATAAAATGGTTTAATTTGGGTTTAAAATTTTACGCTTTGGTTTTTATGCTGTTCTAAGAGGAGATATCCTTAAAAAAAATATATCATCTATATTATATTATAAATTATTTGATAAAAACTCTTAAAAATTATTTTTTATATATAAAGTACTTAAGATGTAAAGTTTTAAATATTTAAGTATCCGGATAACCGGTTGAAACATTAACCGGATACCATGCTGGTGTGATATCCAACTCAATATTATTTGCTGAAGCATTAACTAATTCTTCAAAAAATTCACCAAATGGAGAAAGCAAGAGATATACAATGAAAATCTATAAAATTGGAGATATACTTGAAATTAAATGTTTAAGGAAAGATAAATAAATTTTATGAATTTATTAAAATATTTTAATAATACAAATAACATTGTAATATTTAAATAAGAGATAATCCAATATTTTTTTGAAGATTTTGATTTTATACTGTAACATGTATAAAAATATTTTCTTTTTAATTCTTAAGAAATGTAGAGTCGTGAGTATTTAATTAAATTCATAGACTCGTTGCTATTAGCAAAAAATTGAGCTTATACTTGTATACCTAAAAGAAAATCTTAGGGGTTGTTTGGCAATTGCTGAATGGTTTAGTGTAGAATGATTAAATGGTCAGAATGATTAAGAGGCTCTCATGATATAGTGCAAAATGAAATATAATTGTTTAGTGATTGTATACTATGAAATTAGGGTTCTTAATGGTTAAGGGAGATTAAGGATACAAAATCATTCAGAAGGTTTTAGAACCATTAAGAGGCATACTTTTGTTTTACCAAACAAGATTCACCTCTTAACGATTCAAATATTATCTTTTAGTGGAACTATTAAAAGATAAACAAACAACCAAAATACATGATGAAGAAACAAACAGTTGATCAAGTGTTATACATTGAATTAAAACGCGTCATCCCCATTCATCAGCTCCATCCATCCATGCCATGGATGGATCACTCCGCCTTCTGTCAATAACTATTTTCTCTCCAAATAAACTGACATGACTTGCTTTATGCATGCATCTCTTTCTCGATTCCTACTTTAAAAATTAAAGTAAAAATGGATGTGTTGGCTATAAATTCTCTCCCTGTAGGATATCGATTCCGTCTGACGGACGAAGAACTGATTAATCACTATTTACGCTTAAAGATCAATGGCACCACAATGAAGTGTGTTGTATTAGAGAAATTGATGTTTGCTCAAAAGAGCCATGGGATTTACCTGGTACTATATTTTCATCCCCTCTTTCCCTACTAAATTAAAAAAAATTAGGTTTTTGTGACTTTCTTCTTTAATATTGCTAATCTTGATCATTGAACTTCATTGCAGGTTTGTCAGTGATCGAGTCCATTGACAACGAATGGTTCTTCTTTTGCCCCAAAGATCGTAAGTATCAGAACGGGCAGCGGTTGAATAGGGCCACAGCCACTGGGTACTGGAAAGCCACTGGGAAAGATAGGTTGATCAAGACAACAAGGGAAGTAATGTAATTGGGAGGAAGAGGACGCTTGTTTTCTATGGGTCGGGCTCCCAGAGGGGAGAGGACTCATTGGGTGATCCATGAGTATTGTGCTACGGAGAAGGAACTCGATGGTACCCATCCTGGACAAGTGTGTGATGTCATACAAACTCAAGATTCTTATATAAACTCAGAGGACCTGGTACAATAATATTTACTCACGAGATCCAAAGTTGTGATTCTCATACTGTCTTTCTTGTGTAACAGTAATTATAATTTACTTTTGTCTTTTATATAGTAATCATATTCTGTTTTCATGAATAGGGTCTTTGATACATGCTCTAGGATGATACTAAAATGTTTATCAACCAACCTTTCTTATTTTCCTCGATAATAGGGTCTTTATTGCTTGAACAGGATTTTTTTAATTCATGGTTTAGGACCTCAGTAGAAAGTTGTTGATGCTGGTAATAGTGGTTCTTAAACCAACATTTCATCTTCTATTTGGTAACTTCTACCCTGAGTAGAATGTTCTTCATGATTTAGCAATAATAATTTAAATGGTTCTGATTGCTACATGTAGTAAGATGTTATTTATGTTGATATTGATGATTGTTTTGCAAATATTTCTTCCTTCCTAGGGCAATGGCTAGTTGAACAAACCGCTTATGCATGCTCTTTGACAAGCAATGTCTCCAATATCAACATTAATGAGTATTTTAAATATATTTTTGTCCTTTTCTTTGCAATCAGTTCTTGCTACTTGGAGGGGATGTTTTTATTGTTTTTTACATGAAGTTATATTGTTCTTTACAGAGTCCTTTTGTGCTATGTCGCTTATTTCGAAAGCATGCATGATGTGAAGGATGATGATCCTGGAAATTCAACCGGTGATGATGTTGATCTGGGTGTTGCCTCACCTCCGTCCATTGTTAAGTCTAGTACTGCTCCACCAGATGCCAAAAACATTGACCCTGCGACTTCTCTTATTTGGCAGGCCAATAACTACAACCTTGATAGCTCATAATATCAACTGGTATGCCTAAATTTAGAGTTCAGATGTGAAGCTACTATTTGTTTTAGGTTGCTCAATTTTATTTTTTCTTGTTGCAGATTATGTATCAAGCAATCCCTGATATTCTGATTCTTGTTAAATTTTATTTTGTAGCCAGATTCAGGGCTAGAAGAGGCGATACAAGGTTTTTGCAATGCTACTCCACAACATTTGGATTTGAAAATCTTCTCCTCGTGTTTTCTCAAATGCACTTAGAGCATGGATCTCCATATCTAGGCAACCATGCAGCTGGTG